CCATCAGCACTGCTCATGTTAGCCATTGTTAATCTTCAAAACTGACTAGGTTACTTTTAAACATATAACACTGTCAAAAGTGTTAATTTAACACTCAACAGTGTTGTATTTAACACTCAGAGGTGTGGACCCATATAGACACTCTCAGTGTTAATTTAACACTGGAGATTTTGCTGTATAGTACACACGAATTATCACATGATTGCATTTGTCACGGCTGGCGGAGGAGCCGTGTGGAGTGGAGGAAAAGGAGGACCCAAAATGCAGCAAACTGATGATGCGAGTGAAGTTTATTCACACGGTGGCAGTGGCAAAAACAGGAAATGAGTAATGACAATTCTAAACTGGGAGAAACTAAAGAGCAAACCTGAAATCTACAAAAAGGGTGCGGGGCAGAGAGACGCAGAGACACACGGAAGAATGCAGACTTACACGGAGTAACACAGACGAGCCGACAAGGAGCACAGGCAGACACCAACTATAAATACACACACCAGGTAATCAGGAAATGGCACACAGGAGGGGACACAGCTGGAACTAATGGGCATAACGAGACACAGACCTACAAAGTAAAACAGGAAACACCCAAACTGTTTTACAGCACAACACGGGGACATGAAGGATAGCACAGGTAGGGCTGACAAAACATCAAACTAGAGATTCAACCCTAAATTAATACAAATCAGAATAAACACAAAAGCTGGGTCAACGACCCAGGACCATGACAGAATGTCTTGTTCTCTCTCTCTCTCTCTCTTGGCTTGTTACTAGTTGTTGCTGGTTCACAGTGCAGCAGGGTGTTTTCTAATTTGACATATTTTGCTGCATTTATATGACTTTTTTGTTTTTCTGTCTGTTCACGTCAACCTTTTCACTTCTTCATCCGCACTAAACTCTGTTCCAAAATGTGCATGAAATTGATGGTAGGGGTCGTGCTGAGAGATTCTGATTGGAGAATGCAGTATCAGTAATGACAATGAATGAATAGGCTGTTGTCAGTGTGTGTAAGTACTGGTGCGCAGCGGCCCTTCAATTGGTTTAAAGGTGCATTGGCTTACTTTGGCATGTGGTGATGGCTTGGCCTCCCCAGAGCGTAGACACTAACATTACTGAAGCAATGTGGGATCATTTTGAGATAGCAAAACAAACAAATAAAAAAAATGATGTCGGAGAACTATTCCTGAAGACTTATATTTTCAGGAATAGAGCAAAGAACCAGTAATGTCACACACATGCACCAAAATGGTGGCGTGGCAAATCAAACATAAAGCTCTCATAATTGGCCACCCTGGGAATTTTACCCAAATTATGCTAATTACCAAGAAGGCACTTAGGTCTTTTACACCTAGGACTTAGACATGGTTCAATTAAAAACAAAACAACAATTTATTGACAACTAGTTAAAACATCACATAAAAACAAGAGCCGATGAATCAGTTGCACATGTATTCTAAAACTCAGAGCTGTGGCTTACCAGTGGGTGAGTGGGATGCCAGATGAAGGTAGGTCAAAAAAAAAAAAGAAATCACCAATGCATACGTGCAGCACAACGTCATGCACACACACACTCACACTATTATGCTGCTCAAGACAAGGGTGTATAATAAACGGAAGGTCCCACCACCAAGGCATCCCAGCCACCTCCACTTCCGGCCTTCTGCATCTGAATAAAAGAAAGAAACGTTATAATGTATTCCAACAAAAACCTAAATGCACCCTCTGTTGTGAGCCCAACTGCAGAAACACCCTGGTGATCCACAGCTAGAAAAAGGGCCTCCTTCCAGTGGTGTAAAACACAAACAAAAGTATACAAATCAAACAGTCAGAGACCAAATATACAAACAAAGTAAATGAAACCTTTAACTTTGAGCAGACGGCCTCACATGTCGGCTCAATGCTTTTCTAAAAATGTTCCCTTTTAGTGAAACGGTAAACAACACTGAAAGAAATAGCGACAAAAAAAAAAAAAAGAAACCAAAAAGGAAAGGCTTTTGGGTTTCACTTCTGTCAATGTAGCCTGGAAAGGCAGTAGGGTATCGGCTGCCCTCTGAGGCCCACACTTCCTGCAATGCATCATACAATTAGTATTTACAGAAAAAGACAATAGAAGGATCGTTGCAGAGTTACGCACCGGTCAAACGGGGTCGCTGTTAACAAAGTGGCCCAGAGGAGGCTTCTGCAGCTACAACCTATCCAGGATAATTGACTGTTAATGACTGGACTGTCACAATGGTTCCTTTCTTTTTTAGCCATTCTGCTATTAAATTTGCTGCTGTGTTTGGGACCACTGTCTTGTTGTATGACCCAGTTTAGCTTTCACTGTAAAGCAAATTGTGCAGTCTCCTGCATTTTTAAGGAAATCCACTACTTTGATAGCTGCTGTCCTGCATGTTTTCCACTTTCTCATTGTAGCAAGCTGAGCTTTAAATTGTTCAGAAATAGCCTTATAACCCTTTCCCGATTGATGGGCAACAGCACTCGTTTTGTATCTAGATCTGCTAAAGAGCAGCTTATTTATTTTTTCAATCATATTCTGGCACATAATACCTTAGAAGTAACAGAAGGCGTGCTTTCTTTTCTTTTTTTATAGTGACTGTATATCCCACATACTTTTTGAGAGATGACTTTTTATAACAAGCTTCGAAAAGACAAAGTGTCAAGAGAACAGAAGCACTGTCGGAAAAAAAAGCACAGAAAAGTAAAGTAAACCTCACCTACTTTATGAGATGTTATCTATGACCTGTTGCTGTGGTATTGGTAAAAGTAGAACAGTGCAATACTGGGTGGGAAAACTACTATAGTCAGGGTACACTCTCACAGCATCGTCTCCGACTTCAAAGACCCAACCAGCCAACCAAAAGAAAAAAACGGCATTTCACTCACGTGGTCACACACCAAAGTTATCTGTTTCCTGTTTGCACGCCATTTCTGTGGTATTGTGTAAGCATCTGGGCATGGTCTTAATACTATGCATGTATGTCCACTGTGCAGGCACACATGCAAAGAAGCTGTACGCTAAAATTAAGATGATTATTAGATATCAAATTTTCCTGCTTGTGTGACATCAAAGCTGTTAAAGTTGCCGTGCAGAGAAAAGGATTAAACAGCATATGACTCAACGGTAAGAAAACAGTATTGCTATTTAGTCTGTACCACCTTTAGGTTTGCACAGGATGTGACCGTTCTCGTTCTTATGAGCAGTTTATTGCTTTTTATTACAGTCATAGGGTATTTAAAGATTACTGATTTGATACTGCACTTCAGTTTCTTGTAATTATTAAGAAACTCTCAGCTGAAAAGAGCTCGAAAGGTTTTCGTGCATTTAAAAATTTTGCTCTTTTGCGTGACCCTGTTTTTTGTTGCTTTGTGTTTAGGACATCCTTGATATTTACTTTTTGACACTCAGTGAGAACAAAATACCAGTTGCAGATATTTACATTCCAAATGAATAAATAAATAAATAAATCTTTTTTTTTTTAAGCTGGCATGGAAGACTTGTCAAGATATTGGGGAATCGACAGGATCTTGTTTCTCATATGTTGCATCGTCTCTATATTTTTACAAGCAGGTAAAATTAATTTTACAGCTTTGACAATGAGTATAATATAATGGAAAAGTTTAATAGTTTGATTTTTTCAGCTTTTGCTTTTATACTGGAAGCTACATGGAAAAAAGTATGAATAGTGCAAAATAAGCTTAATTTTATATCTGGATTATGACTTAAACTTCAGTTCTTTGTTTTTTTGGGATGGGCTGTATTCTGCAACGTGCCTGCCTTTTTACAAAGCTGTGTATCCTTTTTTGTATATTTGTCACAAAATACGGTTAAATGTTGATTTATATCTCAAGTGAAGTAACCTATCCAGATCTACCTGATATTAAGAAGTAATTCCTCCCTAAATATAAACCCTGTTGCGCAGCCTTGGCAGCAAGAACTGCGATCAGCAGTAACTTGTAATGCGTCTTTCAGATCACTGTGCACAAAACTTGACCCATGTCTTGGCCAGACACTCTTTAAGCATTTTCTTTTAAAGAGCAGAATTCATGAAAACAGAAAAGCAGCCTCCGACCATCACACTACCACCACCATGTTTTACTGTAGCTATGATGTTCTTTTCATGAAATGCTGTATCAGGTTTATAGCGCATGTGCCGAGGCTCAAACCTTCCAAAAAAACTTCTTTTCTCTTGAGCCCACAGATTAATTTCCCAAAAGTTTCATTGATCAACAAGTTTTTTTTATGTCAAATGTGAAATAATCCTTTGAGGTTTTGTTTATTGGAAGCTATGTAACTACATTTTTAGGGTGTTTTTTTTATTTATAAATGTTGAAACATGAATACTGACCTTAGCTGAGACAAGTGAGGCCTGAAATTCTTTAGATGTGGTTTCATACCTCAGACACCCTGTGTGTGTTTTGTTTTTTTTTACCTCCTCATTGAGCGTCAATTCTCTCTTGGGGTAATTTTGTTAGACTGGCCACTCTTGGGAAGGTTAATGTTTATTTACTTGTGGATACTGGCTCTCACTGTGATTTGTTGGAGTCCCAAAGCCTTAAAATGTACTTTATTACAGTCAGGTAGATTTGGATATCATCTCTCC